AGAACGGTTAGGTTATAACTTAAAGTATTAAAACGCAAACAAACAACAAACCGTTTATTGTAAAAATAAAATCGTTCGTAACAACACTCCTAAACCACCAGGTAATCATTTACAACTTCAACACTAAACCACCAGAGATCGACCACCAAGCAGAGTGTCGCTTCTGTATTGTTCTGTGGTATAAGTCAATACAAACTAACGTTTTATAATACGATTCAAATGATTCAATTATCTTAAGAAATCAGATAATTATAAATAATATTGTTAATGTTATCTTAATATCTTACTATAAAGAATATAACAATAATGCGTTTAACAATACGTAATTAATGTTTGCCTTTATGAAACTCATGCTATCTAAATTTATTGGTATGAACAAAAAATTAATATTTTATATTTTTATGTTAATAAAGTTTGCAGCCAAATGTTAGAACAATTGCAAACCGATATTTTTCAGAATATTTTGATAAATTAAAATCAAATATCAGACGGTTTGCTGTTGCAACAATACCAAATAATGCCTGGTATACGCTTCCGCGGTAATCATATTTCTTAATGGTTATTAAATAGGTCTGAAATAATACAGTTTAATGGGCACAGCCCTGTACCACGGTCGGTTAATTGAATCATATGTACTCATGCAATCGACCAGAGTCCATACCCTCTCAGTGTAAAAGGTATTTTGCAATGCCTGCATTAGCAAGCTATACTAGCCAATGCCGGTAGTGTAACCGCACGCCCCGAGGGGTGGTGGTGTGTACATCAGGCAGTCCATGTGAATTGTTCATTACAGTTTCTCGCCAAAGAAACGAATTTTTTTTCGGGCTCTCGAGATTAATTAAGCAATTCGTGACTAACAAAAATATTTATTATTTTTTTTTTTACATTCAGTTTAGCAGCCCCAGTGTTGTTGAACTAGCAGTTCCAGAATGCATTTTGGCAATACATTTAGATTTTTATTAGTTTTTTTTAAATTATTATTGATAAATAATTTTTGCTTCGTAAAAAACAACGATTTTTGTTATTTTGTTGTATTTTTAAAATATCATTTATTGTGGTTAGTGGAAACTTTTAAAGTATATTATAAATTTTAAAAACATAATGATATTGTCAAATGCAAATTTTTCTCCAAAAACTAATTAACCTTACTACATTATTAATCAATGGCGTACGCAGGAGGGAGGGGGTGTTATGGTGTATATCAATTGCTAATATAAATATTCAGTTAAAATTGAATGTATCTACATTCTATGCTAATTTATTTTTAGAGTCATACACTAAAAACCAAAAGCGAAGTTGTCGTAAACAGATTTTGCCTAAAGATTCCCGTTATTCCTTAATTTTTTTTTTTTTCCCGGCGATTTGAAAACTACTGGGAATTTTGACCTCTGTAATGCACCAACTAGATTGACTTTTCCGTCGGAAAAGATACTTAAGCGGAAAATTGAAGTATTATTTTGACTACTATTATCGTGTTCGTGTACACAGACACAAAAAAAAATTTTTTTTAAAACACGGACCATTTCAAAATCAATATATTCATTGCTCCACTATAAGAATCTAAAATAATATAACATGGGCACAAATATAATATGTATAATAATTAATTCTATAAAAAAAAATCTAATATAAACCAACTGGTAACCACGCATAGAAAAATATAACAAAATTTGTACTAATTGCATACCCAATATTTTATATAAGTCCAATGAAGTATAGTATATTTTACCATTACTCATTAGACATCGTAATCATTTCTTGATAAAGAAATAATCTCATTTTGGCTAATGTAAGAACCAAAATATAAAAGTATCATATTAATTATATATGTTATATAACAAATTAATATCAGTAATCCGTTAGGTACTTTATACTTAATTATATAAATGTTCTAATAATTATAGATTTATTAACTTACTATTGCATTTTATAATGGATGTAAAAAAAAAAGAAACCAATTTATTGATATTTTAGTTAGTTTTTGGGCCCCACACTGACGAATTTCTATTTGTCCATTATCTTCTTAAAGAATAAATAAATAATAGTAAAAAATGCTTCTAACATTCCCTCCCCTGAGGCCACGAATTGTCGATTTACCGTTTATATTGTTATTTATATAAATTACTTAAATATTATATTTTATCCAAAATCAAACTTATTGTAAATAGTAATTATATAAGTTATAATTTTAATAAAATTAAAAAATATATATTTTTTAGCAAAAAGTAAGTAAACAAATTAATTAATTAATTTTATTTAAATTGTTCACCAAAAGTACTAAATAGCAACTAGTAATATTATATGAATTTATGAACAATAATTGTATATAATATTATGCTATATTATTTTTATTATATATTTTATACAATATAAATTCAAGGTTATAACAGTTTTAATTTATCTATGGTATAACAATTAAACATGATAATATATAAATAAGATAAGTACCTTAAATTACTTTTTTTTTATAAGCACACAAAATCAAATTTCGTGTTCAATAGTAAATCTTTTGATTATTGATTAATCATTGACGACTTGGTGTCATTTTACCCATGAGTAATAGATAAATGTATTTATGAATACAGTGTTGTGAAATCTATATAATTGGTATAATTAGTACACTATCAAACATGTTATTATTTTTTACCAGCTATAATTGTGCAACTATAAATATTTACATTTATTCATGTCATACTGAATAAAATATTATGTTCAATATTAATCAGTTATGGCTATCGTGTCTTTTTCAAAGTATAAACATTAAACATTAGTTAACACTTTAATTGTATTTAATTATGCTGCAATTAGTTAAACGTTATAATCAAATAATATAATATATAAGTAAAATGTTAGAACATATATTTAAAAGATAATAACAAAATCAATAATCTGACTATTGCTAATATTATATATGTGTCTTCGGACTTCGATATATCTATTGTATGTGCAATAATATGCATGTATAATATATTTAATATGTTTAATGCCACACTCAATATAATGTTAAGTATAAATGTAGTTATTATTTTAATTAAAACCATTAGATAATTTATCGAATAGACATATTAAAATAATGAATTGCGAAGAGTTCGTATATATAGCTATTAATTCTTTTTCTACTACTGAATTTTGTGATCATTACATTCTACGATACTTTTTTATTTTGCCTGTTGGCTGTCGCACACTAGCCACTCATAATATACTCTCCTTGTATACTCCTAATAGTGTATAAAAAAATAATCGACTGGAATTTTCACAACAATAATTCATGTGTAGATACTCAACTATATAATAGTAGAGGATATAGACATAGTGTTGTCTTCTCGGCTGAGTTGGTTGGTTTATTTTGCCGAGGTGGAAGAGTGAGCCTACCCACATGGCCGCCACACATGTATACATGGAAGTCCTTGTGCATTAAAATTCACCCAACAGTTCACCCACAACATTGCGTGTTGATAAAGACGCACAACGTGATCAAAATACACAAATCTAAAATAATTCAATTTTATCCTACAAGATTTTCCGAACACGCTACACGCGTAACCCCGGTATTATTTATAATTATAAACTATAGTAGTAAATATATTATAATAATATCTATACGATTATACCTAATAAGTAACGCATAAATGTATAAATTATAATTTTTTATTTATTAACGATAGTTGGTTCTGTAGTATTTTTAATCTAGATAATATCTTTTGTCATCTCGTTAAGAGATTATTAAATTATATAAGTAAAATATCTATCTTGCATAAAATGAACGCTTTTATAAAAAATTAAAATACATCAAATATTATACCTAGGTACTTATAACTTAGTTTTCTAATTTTTAGTAAATTTGATATCTGACATCTGTGTCAGTTATGTGTCTATCAGTTCTACCTATATACATAAATACATATCATTAAATACACATCACTGTGACACTACGGTACCTATAAGGTACCTATAGCCGATATTGTAATGCTTTTATCAATGTCAATTTTAATTTAATTAAATAAATAATAATCATTGAAAATACACTAAAATTTATATATTACATAGCTATGATAATATTTTAACAAGTGCTAGAGTTCCATTATTGCACTATGGTATGTTTTTACCTTTTGTAGTTAAATAGTTAATACTACAGTTAAGATACTAAATTAATACGTCAAATATATTAAATTAATAAAAAAAATGCTTGGCAACAAAAAAAACTTATTTTAAGGTAGATATACTCATACTCAGAGGCGTATCTACGTATCCAGCAATTTTTTTTGGGGGGCAAAGGGGTAAAAATTAATTATTGACAAATTGTATGATTTATTAATGAAAACTAATAATTATCAGGGCCGGATTAAGCACGGAGCCTGGGAGCCCGGGCTCCAGGCCCTGAAATATTGAAGGCCCCGAAGGGGCCTTTTATTTCAGACCAAGTTCAAAATAATTTAAGTTTAAATTTTATTTTAATAAATTTTTCGTATTTTTACTATATGTATTACGCAGTGTGCTAGCTTAATACCACCTGCTTACGTGCGAGCAGTAATATCGGTTTGGAATAATAAGACCTTATGATATTATATTATACCTAATATAAAAATAGTATGATAAAATATAATTTGTTTGCATTCAAGTACTAAAGTACTTTGTGAGAATTATGATATCATACTTAATCGTTTAAAATATTTAAGTGAAAATACGGAAATAAAAAAAGATGCACGAAACGAAGCACAAAATATAATTAACAAAATGACATCACTTGATATTGCTTTTATGACAGTACTATGGAACAGAATTTTGGAAAGATTTGATAAAACTAGTGTTAAATTACAAGAGAAGTCACTTGATTTATCAGTCGCTGTTAAGCTTTTAAAATCTTTACGGGAGTATATTGGTTCAATAAGAAACAATTTCAATGATATAGAAAAAGTGGCATTATCTCTTTCTAAAGTTATTTCTAAAAAGTATAATACTGAAAAAAAAGAAAAATAATTCGTAAATTAACTCCAGATGAAATGATTCGAAATGAAGAAGAGACCAATTTTTCTAGGCAGGAGAAGTTTAGAGTTGAAACATTTATAGTTATAATGGACAAATTAGATATATGCCTGCTAAAAAGACTTGAAAAATATAACGATCTAGATAGAAAGTCTGGGTTTCTTACTTATTTTAAATCTATGACTGAGAAAGAAATCGTGGATATGGCAAAATATCTTGGTAAAATATATCCGGACGACCTTGATTATGACATTTTTCCCGAAGAAATGATACATTTTACCAAATTAGTTGATGAGGAAGATGAAGAAGGAAAAATTAAAATGCCACCAGCACTAAAATGTCTTCAAATTATACACGATAATAAACTCAATTCAGTGTTTCCTAATGTGGAAGTAGCATATTGATTGTATTTATGTCTTCCAGTTGCCAACTGCAGTGCAGAAAGAGCATTTTCAAAATTGAAAAGAGTGAAGAACGAATTGAGGTCTACCATGAAAAATCCACGCTTGAACGCTTTATCATTAATGACCATTGAGAGATCTCTACTTAAAGAAATAAATACAGATGAAATAATTGTGGAGTTTCAAAAAAATAAAATAAAATAAGGTACCTAATAAAGTTAATTTTAAAATATTTTATTTTTATTTTGACATTTAAACAATAATGTTGTATATTTGTATGTAACAAAAATTAACTAATATTTAAAGATTAAAAAAGATATATCTGTACCTACAATCAATTAATTTGTATCATTTTTTTAAATAAATAAAATTCAGTTATTGGTAATTAATAGTGTATGAATTAAGGGCCCTTTGGACTACTGGGCTCCAGGCCCGGTAAACTCTTAATCCGGTCCTGATAATTATTTAACTATTTTCGGGGGGAGGAAGGGATTACATACATCAACATTTTAACATCAAAAACTATCTACTTAATCGGTATAGAGAAAGATTCCACAAATTTTATATTTTACAGATTTTTGTAAAAAAGAAACACGAACATCTTAAACGTCAAAAATCTAAAAATTAGAATATAATAATGGTATTTTAAAAGTTTAAGTATCGTTAGTTAAAATTCTAAAAATTTGAATTTGAATTATCGCTTGATAAATTAAAGAACAAATAGTGTTGAGCATGGTTACAAGTAAATTGCTTGTACCTTAAAATTAATGTATATATATTATATATATAAAATATTAATATGTGCATAATATGTTACACTAAAAATGAAGATGATGGAAAAAAATATGTTTTAAAAGTTCACCTTAAATATAATATATTATATATATTTAATATTGTTGTCAAGAAAGAAAAGTTTACCTATCATTCATTTTATTCAAGTGAATATCTTTGATGTAGGTCTCAATGTTATACATAAATTCTTGAAAAATCATGTCAAAGTGTGCAGCACGACTGTTTTTAAAGAAATTGAAATTCATTTTCTAGAGATTTTCTTTAAGGTCAGTGCCTGTAACTATTATATTATAATACTGAAAAAATAATCTGTTTGCTCATAATCGATAGGCATATTTCTTGTATACCTGCTTAACTGTGAAATCGGTAAATGGATCATTAATTCCTCGAAACCGTGTCCCACCCACAAACCACCTCCGATAATAATTGTTACCACCAACTATACCAAGTATAATAATATATAGAAAGTATGTAGACCGAATACATTCCACAGTGGCGGCACCTCTGCAGCAATATTCGAATACTCATAATATTATTTACGTTGTAGGTATTATTTTTTTCCTGTACAACGACGACAATGAGACTATTGGTAACCGTCCCACAATGGTAATAATATAATAACGATAATAATGGTAAAAATAATAATAAAAACCGTATGGTGAATATAATACATTATTCCATACGATATATTATAGTGGGTATGTATCATGTTGTCCCGACATCACACCCGTGATCTATGGGGTTCGTTTGCTGCAGCGACTTTAATATTATTATTATATATTATTATACGCGGCTGTACAGTCGTCGTCGTCGCCGTCGTCGTCACCGCCGCCACCACGGACGCGTTTTCTGGGAATTCGTTTCCCTCGTAATGTGTTTTTACGACGGGACGGTGCCCCGCGCGACGACGGTCCTTTTGTCGGCCGAAACCGATTGGCGCCTGCGGTGGCGGCGGCGACGGCGTCAGTGTCGGCCGCCCGCGGAGGTCCCTTATTCGCAGCGACTCCGGACCAGATGTGTGTGTGCGCGCGGGTAGTATGGGTAATGGGTATGGGTGTCGGACGTATAACATATATATTCGTCAGCGGTCGTGGGTGTGTGTGCAGTATTCGATTTTATAATATACCTACACCTATACCAATACATAAATTATATTTATATGTATGGTGGGAACGCACACTATATATTATATTACGGAACCCTCTGCAGCAGTCCTTGAGACCATCACAATATCGTTATATTATTATATTGTTGTAATAACGACGAGTGTTTATAATAATATAATAAAGCGCGTTAATATTTCTGCCGTGAGAAGTCATGATGATTTTTTAGTTGCGCTCATCCCCTCCGGCTTGTCTCTGCCGCCTGGACGTTTTCATCGCAGGGGTGACGCCGGGTGTCCTTGCAGACCCCGCGATACATTAATTGGTACGTTTGCTTACACATTTTTGGTGCGATTGCAGATCCGAGGCACAGTAGTTCTTATTTCCGCAACAAATAATTGGGACTTTTCTCGCCATATTATTCAAACAGTCCCCAAACTATCGTTTCCCACCTCACTAGTCACTAGCCCCGACTGTGTTCTAATAATAATAATTATTACATTTATTAATAAATACACATTATAAATGATAGAGAGTTTAGTGAAGTACATGCAAAGAACGTCTGGGGTTTAAGGCTGTCATATGTTACGAAAAAATGTCAGGCACTCTTATGTTTTGGTCGTTTTGGACCTGGCCTGCAAACTGCATGAGCGTAGTATAAAATAAACGGCTTCTCGTGACACCTATTGGCTAATTTAGTTGATTAACTTACATAATATTATGTAATTAATATAGCTATTGAATGGATTAATAGTATCCCTAATATTGTTAAGCCACTTAGCACTGATATAATATTGTACTATGGATACAGACCTGCAGTGTGCACTATATTTAATATATAACATTTATATATAACAGTATATTATGTCTGTATAATCGCACAATTCGTGTAACTTTACATTGATTAAACAATAGGTTATACACACCTCAACCTCGTAGGTATACTGCACAAGAAAAAACGAGTATAAAATATTCGCTTACAAGAAAGTATGTAAATTAAAATTTAAGAAAAGAACATGAATACAGAAGAGAATATAAGAACGCGTGTTACAAGTTGGTACGCAGAAGTTATACAACGATAATTCAATAATTGTAGTCAGTAGACAAGGAAAATCGGCTTTTTCAGTTATAAGGTTTGAAAGAAAGGATATGCATGATGCAAGTATACGTACGTGTGATCCATGCCTACGGTTGGTGAGGGTATTATGAGAGAGATAGAGAGAAAGACGATCTAAAGTATAATCATATGGCAGGACTCAGGGGATATTATTTGTGAATGCAATAGACCAAAGAAATGTATACTGCACCATGTAATTGTCCCTCTTGGAGTCTCCGCACTGCAGTATTTGACCAAGTTATACACTCATACAATTTCAATAAGATTGCGAGAATATATTGTAATATAATTTGTACTGGACGGATTTTCATTTTTATTAAGCCGGTATTATTATATAATGGGGTAGGTATACTAAAAAAAAAAAGGAAAAAGAACCGCAGAAGTCCAGAAAATGTACAAACAAAAGTCCACGTCAACCGCCACTCGTCACCCCCTCTCGGGACTGTATAACAGTATAATGTATGACAATACGAGAGTGTACCGCAGGTATACGTATACAATATACGTTACAATTTGTTGGCAAAAAATCGTTGCCCGAAACCTCCCCGCCGCCGACCACGACGACGACGTCGCTCACGAAACAGCTCACCACCACATATTATTATTATTATTATTATTATAATACGGATACTACCGGACGTACGCATCACGCGCGGCGCGGTGAGGTACACCCGGGTCGTCGTGACCACGACGGCGGAGGCGCTTACGCCCGCGATAATTGTTGCGGCCGCCCACCCCCTCGAGCCGGCCGATACACGTCGCATACGTTTATAATAACACACGTATTATAAAATACAGTGCGCTCGGCCGGCCGGTCCGTGGGAACGCGGCGCGATGCTTTCGTCGTCGCCGTCGTCGTCGTCCGCGGGCGTCGTCAGACGGACTCGGTTGTATTTAATATTTTTTTTTCCAAGATATTGGTACTCGCTTCGACCTCCACGGCCGCCGCCGCCGCCGAAGACGACGCTACGTGTGCGTGCGTCGCATTTATCGAAGTTGTATAATACACTCGTACTGCGGTGCAGCAGATGTGTGTGTGTGGTGTGTGTGTGTGAGGCACGGCCTAATCTCTATAATATAATAAGAGGGAAAGAAACAAAAATATGAATATTTGAATACGCATGTTTTTCATTTTAATGTTTGATTACAATCGACCAATTATTTATGTACAATTTAAAATTTTCCATACTTGTTATTATTTTTTTTTCTATTACAATTTCTGATAGGTAATCCACCCAACCAAAGCGACTCCGTTACCGAATTGCATCGTACATCGTCGTGCAACCTATTTCCACTCCCTGCACCACGAGTGCGAGGCAAAAATTGTCTTGTATATTTGTCATCGGTAAAAATAAAAATATAAGTTCGTGGAGCTAAGCCGAAAAATATATCATTGATAAAATGTGGCTCAAAAAATATATAGTAAACGAACAAATTTCACCTAAATGGAAAATCGGTGTATGTTCTTATCACATCGATTATGTTTATCATACATATTTTATTCATTTAACATTCTCGATATAATGACTACGTTCTGTTTTCACGTTTTGTATACCTTTAGTCGACGATTATGAAGAAATATAAGTTCTTGATAATCGTGTTTGTTGTAAATACTTTAATATATATTATTTGAAAACGTTTTTGTTTCTCACAGTAGGTAATGCTTTAAATAATATCTGCCTCACCACTTATGTGTGTGTGAACTGCTGCAGGTAACACTAACGTGTATTATATGTACGCGATGGTCGGCGTATACACAAACGCCCGGTAGTTATTTTACTATTATAAATACGACGACGACGACGACGACTGTGGCCACGACTATTAATACCATAATAATATTGTCTATCCCGAGGGATCGTATAATATGGAGGAGACCTTAAAATAGTTCCATCCTTGGGAGATGCGATACCAGTCACAGGCCACAGCGGAACGCGTTCTGAACCGCACTCGCCGCAGGAAATCTCCTGAATGACATAATTATTGGTCGT